ACAAAATCCTAAATTGAAAACCACAACAAAAATGATTTATTTTCTCATATTTATTTTTTCTGTTGCTTCAAGTAAATATAATTAGATAATAAATAAAACAATTAATTTAATTATCAAGTAAATAATTTAATTTTATTTATGTAGTAAAAATATACAACTACAGCCAATATAACGAACTGTTTGAAACCGGACTAATCGAGGACTTTAAAACTTTATAAAACTACATAATAAAGTGAATCCGGACTGATTGAAGCCGCACTGTGCGAAATATTGCTATATAAATATATAATTATCAAATAATTAATTTGTAAAATAAATAATGCAAATGTTTGTAATTGTTTCAATATTCATTGAAAAATTATGAAGGTTCTTGTAATTACATTATAAAAAGTTTATTTCAATCAATTCCAAGGAAATATCGTATTTGATCAATTAAATTAACTTTCGAATCATTTCTCACTTTTAATTATTTACTATAAAACAAAATGATTAATATTTATAATAAACAAATATCACAATTGTGAAAAACAACAAAATACAAGAAAATTGTAAACTTTTTCTTTTGATTTGAACTTATTCTTTTTGTCCACAATAACAAAAACAATAGGAAATTGATTGGAATATTCAATAATTTATGATAATTTAATAGTATTGTTCAATTTTCTTTAGATAATAAGTAAATTTAATAATTAGTATTAAAATATTACAAAAAACGTGTCAATTTTATCCATGTTTTAATATAAAGGAATCAAATTGAAAGAAGAAATGATTTTGTTATATAACTTAAAAATTTAGATGCTTTTTTTTTCCTGTAATAGCTTCTTGAAAAGTATTAACACTTGAGGCTTTTGGAATGTGTTTTCTTTTCTTTTTTCTTCTTGTTGATATCAATACACAGAAGTGGTCGTAAGAATGAATATACAAAGAGATGCCTCCTCGGTGTCTAGACTTCTGGATCGGAGAAGGTATTTCGCTCGCCGCGTGCGCAAACTCGGTGTTCGTTATAAACGGAATCCGGGGCGAATTCCGGAAACTGCGTGCATTAATCGCGACAAGATCGGACGGCCCCCGTTTACATTCAGTCCAATTGCTAAGGAACGCGGACATTTCCGGTCGCAATTAATCCCCTGATCATTACATATGCATTTCAATCTGAATGCAAATGATCCACACAACAAAAATTATATATCTCTTTAGATTTGTATAATTAATAATAAATAGTTTATTTTAATAATTATAGAGGATGTAATAGATCTATTTGCTAATTTATTATTAAAACGTAATTCATATTAGATTATTGAAAAATTCCACAAAAAAATACTTCGAATTTATTGTAGAATTGATTAGTAGTTAATTGGTAAATCATTATTTGAAATTTTCCTAATTTTTCACAATTAATAATTTATTAAATTATTTCAGATAAATTCCATAGTAATTTAATACACAATAGTAATTCAAGCAATGTTAAAATGAAGTTTAACATGTATTAAATTGTATAATTAACTAAGCCAAATGCATCTATCTTTCGATAAAAAAAAATGCGGCTCCTAACTCTGACTGTTGTGGGTATATTGAAAAATTCATTTCACTTGTAAAAAATAACGATTGTAATGAAGTGCGGCTCTCTAGACATTTTTTCATTGGAAATTGGCTCTTTGCTTCATAAAGATTGCCGACCCTAAACTAAACAATAAATTATATTGTTTTTTCAACTTTTTAAAATTACATAAGAAACATTTGTCATTTCACTAGTAATGCTAACATGCGGCTCTCTAAACTATTCATAACAGGAAATTGGCTCTTTGCTTCATAAAGATTGCCGACCCCTAAACTAAACAATAAATCAAGAAACATTTGTTATTTCATTAGTAAACAAATAGCGATTGTAATGCTACATGCGGCTCTCTAAACTTATCATAGCAAGAAATTGGCTCTTTGCTCCATAAAAGTTGCCGACCCCTAAATTCAGCTATAAATTTCGTTATTTGTTACAACTATTGTAATGCGGCTCTCTAACCAATTTTTTAACAGGCAAGTGGCTCTTTGCCCCATAAATGTTGCCGACCCCTTAACTAAGCAATAATTTACGATATTTATTTCAACTATTTATAATTACATAAGACACATATATTGTTTTACAATAATTACACATAACAACACTTGTTGTTAAAGACTATCAAAACACATTGTTGAAGAAGCTTATTATACAAATCAAATCCTGAAATCCCTCCTTTTGTTCTTCTCGTTTCTTCAACGTTCTTCTCATTCTTTACCGTTCTTCGTCTCCTTTCGTTATTTTTTTTCTCTTGTTCTTCTTTGGGGGGCCACACACACAAATTATAGATAAAAATGAAACGGACTCATGTCGAAATCATGATTTATCTCTCGCCGATCAGGACCCGAAAAAGGAACACGAGAAGAACGGGAATCCAAGTATAAAGAATGAAGAGAGAGAGAACGGACGAATGAAAAAAACTTTCTATAATAATCCGTACCCAATAATTTTCTCAATCACGATTCGTTTATTTTTTGTATGTTGACTCTCTATTTCCCAGAGGTTTTGTTCTTCGAAACCAATTTAAGAACATCATAATTTTTTTGATGGAAATATATTTTTGTGACCTTTATTTATAAAAAACTTGATTAAAACATTTATTTTTCAGATATTTTTATCAATGAAAATTTTAGTTTTACGTTTATTTATTTATAAAATCAGTATTGTTTTTGTAAGTCAAGTTCTTGATTGTTTTCTTTTCAATGAAAATTTTGTTTAATGTTTATTTATTTGTAAAACGACTACTATTTTTATTTGAAAAACTTGATTGAAAGATTTGTTTTTTTCTTATATTTTTATGAATGAAAATTTTAGCTTTACGTTGATTTAATTGTAAAATTAATAAAGAATATTTGTAAATTATAGTTAATTTATTAGTAAAATTTTTCTATGTAAATTTATTGTTATAATAAATGTAAAAATAATAATTATTATTTATTTTCTGATAAATTTTAAAAACTTAAGTAAGCTATAAGATAATAAGATTACTTAAGTAAAATTTGTTAAGTACTATTTTACAAATTTTTACATATTTGATTTGATTCTTAATTAAAAAAAAACAATTGTTTTAAATAAAATTAATAAATGATGCAAAATTCGATATTTTTCTAATTAATTTTTTAGTAATTGTGTAAAATTATCATACATAAATAAGCAGCGTAAATAAATAAGAAAACTGAAGTATTTTGAAATATTGTTTTAACATGGTTGTAGTAAAGAATATGTAAAGAGAATCCATCGGATCGGCGCTTTCAAAGGAGGAACGATCCTGGCGATAAATCTTTGACGGCGTCGATTCCGATCAGATCAGGAAGAAATCGACGCCAACGTGTAATTTATTTATTCAAAAAAAAAAAATATAAAAAAATAATAATAAGAAGAAAGAAGCGGATTTAAATATTCAAATACGGAGGACTAGTGAATTTTTCTACAAGACACAAAAAAAATAAGCACTACACGTGCGCAGCGAAGGTGTTTCAAAAGAGGTTTATTTGGTAATCGCCTTTCAAAAAAATAAGAAGAAGACGTAATATACGTAGTTAGGAAACTTTAGGTGGGCTGTGTAACCTAAAAAAAAATAACTGAAACGCGATGATGTCTATCGATTCGAAATTGCCGTAACCGCTTTGATCTGATTGTCGTGGCAATAAACATACGGTGTTTCGATAAAGAAAAAAAAAATAATAATGGTAGTATTAGGAAAAGAGAAGTTGGACAATGCTTTATGATCCAGTTAATAACGAAGCCGAATTCAGCAGTTTCTAAATAATGTTTTAATTAAACGGTATTCACTCGAGTGTAAATAAATCAATAAAGTACGTTAATAGGTTTAGTTGATTTATTTCTTCTTCCATTGAGTAACCTTAATAAAAAAAAATGTAATTACTTCATTTATTTATCTAAAAAAAAATATGTAATTATTGTTCTTTTTTTTAAATAATTGATCAATTTTTTTATAACAAAAATTTCGTTTAAAATGTGTATTATAATTTTTTAAAACTTGGAGATTTACTAAAGTTTTAACATTTATCATTTCTTTACAACTTTTTCAATGAAAATAAAGTTTTATGAAAAAGATTTGTTAATTACTACATTTATATAAATGTTACTAATGTTTCTGTATTTAATATAATTATTTGATTACGCATTAATTTTTGAAATTATTTTACACAAATTTTGAAAATATTAATAAATATTTAATTAACTGTTAAAATGTAGAATATATTAAGTGAAATATATTAGATAAATTACACGAAATATTTACTTTTTTTTATATTTAACAAAATTACAATTTTTCCTTCCTTTAAAGTTTTCAATAAGGAATATTTCTTATGGTTTTACAGTTTTTAAGAAAACGATTGAATAATATTTTTTTTGTAATAAAAAGTTTGAAATATTCTTTCATTTTTAGATTAGAAAATAATAGAACTTTTTTATATTTTTTCTTTATTAATTTCAAACAAAAATGAATGAATTCAATTACAAATTTTTATTTTATACGAAATATTGGTATATAGGTGTAAAATATTAACAATTTATGTGTTTTAAAGTAATTGTAATTTATGAATATTAGTGTTTGTTTTATAAAACAAATTTTTGTAAAAATGATTGTTTAATTAATTTAGAGATTTTTTAAAGTTTTAATTATTAATATTTTACTATTGTTAAATGAGTAAAAAAATGTGCTTTATGTAAACAACAAATTTTACTTTACTATAAGTGATATAGATATATTTGTTAAATAAATTATGAAATTTGTTTCGTTAATTTTTATAATTTGTAAATAATTGAGTTGTAGATTTAATTTAACCATATAACTTTTCTTATTAATTTTATCAAAATGTTGTATAAAATCCATTAGGTAATGTTGTTTATTTTGATTCGAGTTCGAGAAGTAAACAGATGAAGAAGAGAGTAGGAAAAAAAAAACAGTTTCAATACGAACCGCATATCACGTTAGAGAATCCATGTAATCCAATTGCGCTTTTTTTTATGTCACTGTTCGTAATCACAATTATTTTCGTTTGTTTGTTATTTCTGCAGGTATTTTCCCCGAATTTTATAGTCGGATCAATCAATTAAGCGTGTCGTCATCATGATCGTCCCAGGAAACTGGTTTTCGGCGTTGCGTAAGTGAGACGCATCCCTTTCGCCAAACACGTAATGTATGCACAGAATGGTCTCCACATTAGACCGTGTCGATTTGAATTAGATGCTCCCTATTTATTTGTCCGCTGCATGGTGTAACGTATCAATTAAGGGATGAAGTCCGAACATTTACCTTCTCCTTAAGGGAATTCCCATGATGCGAAGGCGGCGGTGTAATCAGACGCGACATCAAGGAAAAATAAAATTGAAAAAAATAAATTATATATTTTTTTGTGTGTTTATATGTATATAGATCACAGTCTTTGCTTGGGACACTTCTTAGAGACTAGTATTATCCGCACTCCAGAATTCTGGACACTCCGCGAACCTCGTGGTACCGCGGTGACTGATGTGTCGTTCCCTCGACAGTCGGTTTGCACTGCGAGCTGAAAGCGGATTGGTGGACCAGGCTTGTAATAGCACTGGCAAGCTGTCAGCGTTTCAAACATCACTACTAGTGTATAGCGAGCGCACGCACACCTCCTCACTTCGGTCCTATCCCCGTCTCCCTCGCACCCATCGCCGCCACGCTACGTCCGTCTCTTTCCGACTCGCACTGGGAACCCCCCATTTTCAAAACTACTCACAATTGTGTCCTTCTCTACCCTCGTTTTCCCGTCACGCCGGCTGCCCTAAAAGCCCATAACCCACCGTTCCACCTCTCCTCGTCCATCACCGGAAACCATCATCCCTTAGAATCCGAAACTTTTCTTCATCTTCGTATTTTCTTTTTTTTTTCTTCTTCGCGCCACCAATTAAGATCAATCCGCCAAAATGGCGTCCTCATCCTGTATAACACACGGTAATATCCCAGACGAAGAGATATGGACTCAATTAATAATTTCTTCCTTTTGTTCGCCGCAGGGGCGGACAACCAATCCGACCCACATAATCGCCCTTTCGGCTATCCCACAGACAACTCACTCATTTATATCCACCAGAAAAGCATTTTTTTCTCTTTCTTTCTCTTCTCCGACAGCCCCCAAACGCTCAGACACAAAAAATATATATATATAAAATGAAGGACGTAATCTAGGTATCAACTAGAGAGAAGAAAAAAACGATGTCTTCATTATGCGGGATGGCTCGAATTAATCAACATAACTGATCCTAACCGATTACTGCACATCAATTAAGAGAATACCATAAAAATTACATTCCTAAACCAATTAATCAATTTCAACGCTTAAATTTGTATCTTAATTTCAACAGAAATTACAAAGCTTATTACAACACAAATACCAAAGTTATTTTACTATAAACTTCATATAATTTTGTAAATTTCTTTAAAAAATAAGGAAATAATAAACTATGAAATGCTAAAATCCAATTTCATTTATTACCAGAAATATATTGGTATATTTTTCAAAAACTTACAATAAAATTCCAAAATTTTCTATTAAAATTGATATTTTTCATACCTCTACTTAATAAAAAAAAATGAAACTTTACGATATATATCAAAATACATTTATATATATTTATTTATGAAAAATTATTGATAAAAAATTTAATTCTCTTTGATATTTTAATAGAATTTAAAACTTTTAGATTTCTTCATTACACCAAGTAAATAAAACTTTATGTAATGTAAATATATACAAAAATCATCATCATAATTTGTATAGTAGAACAAATATTGTATTACAATCAAACATGTTAAAACAAAATTTGAAATTTAATTAATAAATAAATTTCTGTTTTCTAAATATATCTAATAATTTCATAATTTTTTGGAAAATATACTGTTAGATGTTTAGCTTTTGAGATGTTTTTGAAATACACAAGCAATGTTTAACTGAATCATTTTGTTAAAAAAAAGTAAATGAAATAAAAATTGAAATATTTTATGCTTGAAATTTGCAAATAAAGAAATAGTATAAAATTTGTGTTAATGTGATAATTTTGGTGGATATCAGTGATATCAATTGTAGCTTAATTTAACACTGTAAATTAATTGCAAACCAGATATGAATTGTGAATAAGACCTAACCGAATTACCGGTTGTTCCGACCGGGTCCGAAGTGTAATTGCATTAAAATGATCTATTATGCAAAGCGGACGAATCGCAGTCAATTAAACTTCGATATTTCAACACGACCCAAACAAAGTGCGAACCATTCGCACCGAAAATCCGATGTTTACGAAACGATTTACTATTATATAATTTACAAAAAAAGAGTACAGATTATGCACGCGCAATTAATATCACTTATTTGGTTACGACGTGCCAAAGAAAATAAGAAAATATATGGGAATTTTCGAACAACAAATAGTACAAATATGGGACAATGTGAGATGTAGAAAAAAAAATGTATGTGTGTGGGGTGAAAACCCTTGTAGGTTGCACCCTTAGGGTAGAATCTAGTATATAGAGAATAAGTGTGTGTAAGAGAAAGAGAGAGAAGAAATGTCAGTTGTGAATTTTTTTTTGGGGGTTGATCGGTCTCTTTCTGGCGAATCCATCCGTCTTTCTTGCACCCCATGAGTAATATTGGTGTCGGCCGTTTTACGGTCGGCCATTTAAAACAGTAATGAATCTATTATGTTCTAACTTCCCTGCAGATAAACGATCTTTTAGGAAGGATGGTGGTGGTAGAGAAGGTACGGTAGTAGAGGATATCTTGTCCGGAGCGATAAAATTTCGACTTCCGACATGTTGTAGTTGTTTCTGTGACTGCTGCACCTTTCTCCGATCTTCGATTATACAAGGATAATGGTCTTTGTTAACAAGCAAGGACGATTCTTCATATTTCCTTTACTAAACTTATATATATGTATTTTTTTTTTGGTATTGTTGTTCCTTTCTCGTGTTCAAATTTCGTGATGATTTATTCGGTCGCAACGCGGAGAGCTCTAATTGTGTACAAATTTCCGAAACCGCAGGTAAAAGATGCATCCCATTGATTTACGGCATCGGAGAGTCGTAGAACGGGGGGCGAGCTTCGACCTTATATATTGATTAGCATTCCGTCTGTTGTTTTCCTTCTTTTTCCACGCAAGCTCAGAACCAACAAAAAAACCAAAAAAAAAAGAAAGAAGAAGTAGACAGAGCTGAAGAAATTAATACGTGCACAGCCTTATGTCTGGGCGCGATTTATCAAGGTGGATGCGAGATGAAGATGATGGAGGATCAAGGGAAAGAAAAAATGAAGCACACGAAAACCTAAGTTTATAATTAAGATGTCGGAGTTTTGGAGTGGATGAAGAGAGAACGTTCTTAATATCCGTGAAACGTTTCTGAAAGTTTGAACGACAAAAAAAAAATAAATAAATTGTATCATGATGCATAAGCATACAAATGTTTTGTATGTGGATATGTATTATATACTTTGGTATTGCGATTGTGAGTGTGGTGTATATGACGTGGGGAGAAGCAGAACGAGTAGACTGTAGAGGGGTTGTTATTCAAATGATATTCAAATTCTGGCCTGCAATGAATAGGGGTGGTTCGGCTCGGCACATAGCTTGAATTGCCGCTGTCCAATGCCGAAACGTTATGGAATTCTCTTGCCGGAACGGAATTAGAATTTGTATGCGATCGATTTTGTTGCTAATTTCGGTGCCGAAATACTTTTCTCTGTTTGCTTTCGACAATAATATATATATTTATTTTTTTTGTTTGGTTGCGTTTGGGGGGAATCCCACAGCCTTCGTCGACGAAACGAATCCGGGCTTCACTCTAGACTGAGCAATTTTTACCGGGGCTGATAAATGGCCGCTGCCGATGACACCGATGAAATACGCCGGTTTCGGGGTTGGGTTTTGACTGAGAGATTTCAATTAAAACCCATGTATGTGGAATAATCCGCAGCCCAAGGCGCTCCATTGCACTTGATTTATACAGGGTGTCCTCCATTCGATACAGAAGGAGAAGAAATATCAGAGATAAACGAATAAACGCAGAGCAAACAAAATATTAATTATTTTTTCCGATCAAACTGCACTTATATGTCGTGACATTATGGTAATACGTGAAATCCAATTGCCGCTGTTTGCCAATGGTAATTTCGCTTCCCGTTTCAAATATATATATATATATGTACATACACATGTGTCATAGGTCATAATATTATAATTTAATTACGCAAGCCAACACAAACAACTCCATACACAAGTTCAATTCGCATAATTAATACTATTTTTCATTCACTTTCTAATCGATAAAATTTATTTATATCCTCACTTGAAGTTGCTTGTCAAATCGCAAGTACCTTCAAGTGAGGCATGTAATACCTACATTCAAACTAAATCATAATTTGAGTACTAACTACAAGTTAAAAAATTATTTCACAATTAAAAATAATTGTCAAGTTACAAGTATTTGTACATGTACTAACTTATATAATGGAATAACATTGATTCATGTTTCAATCTTTGATTTACGTTATATAAGTTGAGATATATTTTTTTGCAAGTATTTGTCCAAGTAGAACATGTAACTTATATCTACATTCTTCATTTACATCTGAATTAAACTTATCCGTATTTAAACAATAAGTTAAATATGTATTCTTAACTTAAAGATATTTGTCAAGTTACATGTATTTGCACATGTACTCATTTTTACAAAATTAATATGGAATAAAATTGATTTATGTTTATTTTAATTTACATTGTATAAGATGAAGTATTTTTTTTATATTTATTTTATTTCTCATTTACACTTACTTGCCAATTTGCAAGTATTAGTCCAAGTAAAACATATATCTACATTTCTACATTCTTCATTTACAACTGAATTAAACGTATTTGTATTTAAACAATAAGTTAAATATTTATCCTTAACTTATAGATATTTGTCAAGTTACAAGTATTTATGCATATGAGACATAATACAAAATTTAATATAATCATATTATTATTACCTTTTGTTATAATTTTGTAAATCCAATTAATTACTTAATATACTTGTCAAGTAACAAGTGCATGTATTTGAGAAATATGCAATATAACTACAAATTAATGTAATTTATTAAATAATTTTAGCTCCGTTATGTTTGTACTATTTAATGTATAAGTTGTATATGTTGAAATATTGTTTTTTTTCTTGTATCTTGTATATAATAAAAATAAATTAAACATTTACGTTACAATTTTGATAAAACAAAACTAAAATTTATGATAATTTATAGTCACAATTTGTAGTACATTTGACATATCAAATTAATTGTAATTTATTTTGCAAAAATCAACGTAAACAACTCAATACGCATGTAATACGTACAATTAATAATATTTCTTAGTAATGTTTTCATCTACAATTCAACTGTACGACAGCAAAAAACAAAGTAGATTTATTAGAATTTTATTACATAAGTAAACCTCATATTTTCTTATAATTTTGTAAATAATTTATATGTATTGAAACTATTTATATTGTAGATAAGATAATTATTTTCTTGTATGGTTTTACGAAATTT